GCCTCAGCCTCCCAAGTAGCTGGGACCACAGGGGCCCACCACAATGCCCAGCTATTTTTTTGTTGTTGTTGCAGTTTGGCAGGGGCCAGGCCTGAACCTGCCACCCTTGGTATATGGGGCCAGCACCCTAACCACGGAGCCACAGGCGCCGCCCTAGAAACTAAATTTTATTAGTTCTTTCCCTTTCTCTCCCCCCATGAGGCAGTGGAAAACTGACTTGCACTAATTATATACAGAAAGACTGACCAGTAAATGAAAAATTAACTTGTTAATTTATAGCAACAGACCTTTGGGTTTTTTTCCTATTTGCTTTGTTTTTTAAAGCTTTTTGTTTGATTATGATTGTAAAACTAATACATGTTCATTATGGAAAATTTGGAAAGAGCATAAAAATATTAGAAACATAAAGAAAATCATAGTTCACATCAAAAATAACGCTTCACATACATCATACATCTCTGTGGATATAATTTTAACAGTATTGGGATTGATCATATTTGTCAACATGAAATAATAAAATGACCAGAATACAGTTTAAAAGAGTTTATTCAAGTCCAAAGCTGAGAATTCTGGCATTTGGGTAACCCAAGTTCCAAGGAAGGGGAGTCAGTGCCCCAAAGCTAAAAAGTTAGGCAGAAAAAGATTTTTTTACAGGATTACATTTTTCATACAGGGCTGATTTATGAGTTAGTGTAATTTGATTTCTTACAGCTGTTTTCAGTTTTCAATTTTTTTTTCTTTTTGCAGTTTTTGGCTGGGCGGGGTTTGAACCCACCACCTCCCGTACATGGGGCTGATGCCCTACTCCTTGAGTCACAGGTGCCGCCCCTAGTTTTCAATTTAAAAGAGTATATTTAACATCCCCCATCTTAGACATAATAGTGTGAGGTTTCATGTAAGATAAGTAAGAAGGAAGTTAATCTACAATGACGATCAACAGCAAAGAAGGAAGGGATTTTCTCTGCCACTGCTTTAGTCTTTTATAACATTTTACAAAACAGTGTAGGTGAAGAAAAGGCTAATGTATAATCAGAAGAACCAATATTACAGTGACCAAAGATTACAGGTGCCTAGGTTATAGCTCTTGTCACAACTCTGACAAGAGCACAGGCATTTGGGAGATAGGTAGAGAAAGCAGGCTAGAAACCAAAATGTATGATCACAGCAATCCCCTTCCCACACTCCTGTAAATCCTCACAACCCTGACAAGAGTATAGCCATCCTGTGAGGACAGCCAGTGAGAGAAAGCAGGTCAGAAGCGAATCCCTTCCCCACCTTCCTGGAATGCTCCCTGGGAAGCATCAGAATTTCCTACCCTGGTCCTGGCTGGCACTAGAGATAAGATGCTGGTGCAAGATGAACACCTTTTGCAAAGGCAGCAGCAATTCTAAAATCAGTCTCAGACACAGCATCATTCATTCTGCATAAAAAGATGACTTCCCTCACCTCTCACTACCCTCTTCTGCATTCCAACTACTCTAATAAAAGTCCCTTGAAACTGTGTGAGGGGGACGGACTCTTGGTCAGACTCCACTCTACTTCTTTAAAATAAAGACTTTCCTTAATCCCTGGACTGGCTTCCTCTCCTTCTTGTGGGCCCTCACCTGGACTCTACCCCTAAACCTCTCATGGGACCTATTAAGTGACTCAGGTTCCATAATCAAATTCCTTTGAGGCTCCAAATAATTTAAAGTTCCAAAACTTTGATTTTTAATTATTTACTTTTTACTTACTGTATATACATTTGCATCCTACTTTCTTCTGTTAAATT